CTGATAGAGAAGTTCATCTCCCTTAGTTGATTTTAACCTTTCTGTACCTGCCTATCTCGGGCAACAGCCTTAAAATAGAGCCCCCCACAAGTGAAAAGCAGCCCACCACAAGTGAAAAGCAACCCCACGCCAGTCCCGGCCCACCTACCTCACGTGCCAGCCATAATATAGAGCCACATCCTAGCAAAAAGCAGCCTTCAAGCCTCAGCCCCATCTGCTTCAGGGGACTGCCTAAATAAAAGGCTGCCTCTAATCAAAAAGCAGCTCCCAGCCCTTGGTCCTTTTGATTCAATGAGTTTGTGTATTTCTTCCATTTTCTTTTGATACTTCCTTTATCATTCAGTATTTTGCCCAGAGAATCCTTCAGTATCACAAGTCAAGGCTTCATTTTTTTTTTTAGTTCTTTCAGCTTAAAGAATGCTGAGCTTGTTCTTCCCTTTTGGTGTTCTTACTCTAGGTCTTTGCACGTTTCATTATAATACTTTACTTTGTCTTTTTGAGTGTCCCTTTGCAGTTTTCTGTTCAGCTCTTTCATTTCATTGTTCATTCCATCTGCTTTACTTACTTTCCATTCAAAAGCAAGTTTTAGATTATATTCTAACATCCATTTTGGTCTTTTCTTCATTTCCTGTCTTTTTAATGACCTTTTGTTTTCTTCAAGTATGATGTTCTTGATGGCATCCTACCACTTGTGTGGTCTTTGGTCATTGGTTTTCAATACATCAAATCTGTTCTTCATATTGTCTCTAAATTCAAGTGGGATATATTCAGGGTCTTATTTTGTCCCTTATGGACTTGTTTTAATTTTCTTCACCTTGAACTTGAACTTGCATATGAACAAATGATGGTCTGGTCCACAGTCAGCTCCTGGCCTTGTTTTTACTGAGCTGTTTTATCACCTCTGCCCAAAGATTTAATCAGTTTGATTCCTTTCTATTCCATCGGCGAGATTCACATGTGTAGTCGCTGTTTGTATTGTTCAGACAAGGTATTTGCAAGGAATAAGTTGTTGCTCTTCCAACCTGACAGACTCATCTTCTGTCAATACGTCTGACAATGTTTTACCGTTGTTCATAATGTTTTCCAGTAACATATCAGTGTTTCACTGCTATTCGTAAGGTTTTCATTGGTCAGTTTTTTTTCAGACATGGATGGCCCCATCCTTCTTCCCAGTCTGTCTTAGTCTGGAAGCTCCACTGAAACTGTCCAACACAGGTGACTTTATTGGTTTTTGAAATACTGGTGGCATAGCCTCCAGCCTTACAGCAACATGGAATCCAACTGTTATGAGAAACTGACAGACCAGCTGTGGTCAGTATGGATTACACCTCTACATAAGGAAAACAAAAATCCTCACAACTGGACCAATAAGCAACATTATGATCTATGGAGAAAAAAAAAAATCAAGTTGTCAGGAATATCATTTTACTTGGATCTACAATCAACACCCATGGAAACAGCAGTCAGGAAATCAGATACCATATTGAACAGGGTAGATCTGCTGCAGAAGACCTCTTTAAAGAGTTAAGGAGCAAAGATGTCACTTTTAAGACTGGGGTACTGACCCAAGACATGGTATTTTTTACCTCATAAGCGTATGAAAGCTAGACAATGAATAAGGAAGACCAAAGAAGAGTTGATGCCTTTGAATTGTGTTGTTTGCAAAGACTACCAATAGTTCCTTGAACTTCCAGAAAATCGAACAAATCTGTCTGTGGGAATTGTAGTCGGAATGCTCCTTAGATGCAAGAATGGCCAGACTTCATTTCAACTTCTTTGATCATATTATCAGAAGGGACCAGTCCCTGGAGGAGGATATCATGCTTGGTAAAGTAGAAGGTCAGTGGAGAAGAGGGTGACCTTTAATGAGATGGATTGACATAGTGGCTACAACAATGTATCCAAACATAACAACTGTTGTGAGGATAGCTCTGGAGTGGGCAGTGTTTTGTTCTGTTGTACATAGGGTTGGTATGATTGGAAACCACTCGAAGTTATGTAACAACTAATAACAAAGTTAATGGTGTTGAGATTTGAGGATGGATGCTTGTTTTTTTTATTGTATTATAATTGTCTGTTTTTGTGTATGCTTGAAAATTCCATTAAAAAAACTTGGTGCCATACAATAATTCCCTAAAGCAATTCCCACGGATGCTTTTCTCCTTATTTACATATCAGTATTTTCTCTAGAATTGTCTTATGTCTCTTTGGCTTGAACTAGGTCATAAAGCCTTTCTAACCCAATTGCCATATCCACACACCCTTTTATATTTGATTTCGAGAATATCAAGTAAAGTTTGCAAAAGAAGAATCCTTAGGATTACAAAACCATCCTTTCTTCTTGATGTTTTTTAATTCCTGATTTTTATGTATTTAGTATTTTTTTAAATTAATTGCATTTAGTTTTATAAACTACCTCTTGTGTTTTGTGGAACGAGATAAGTGGTGATATGAATAAAAAACATCCGAAAGGAGTTTTATTTCTCATATTCTTTTCTCTTACACCTAGAAAGATACTGCGTTCTTATAAATGAGACATTTTGGAGCTGTAAAATTAGAAAAAAGCTGCTTGTATGTTGCTATTTTACAAATAACATTTTATGTTGAGAAATCTGTTTTAATTTCTAAGTATCAAAATGGAGCACCATTTTCCTCTGAAAATGTTTTCATCTTTAATTTCTTGTCGATATTAGTAACAGCTTTGTATTTTGTTTTTCTTTTAGATATGGAATATACGAACGATGTCGAGAATTGGTGGAAGCAGGCTATGATGTTCGGCAACCAGACAAAGAAAATGTTACACTCCTCCACTGGGCTGCCATCAATAACAGAATAGACTTAGTCAAGTATGTGTTTTCTGTTTCTTAAGTGGTTAATAATAATTGTTACAAAATTATTAGAAGTAATTACCAAATTAATATCTAAAAATCATGGCTTTTAAAATATAGATTCTATGTACTCTTTTTCTGGAAAAAAATGTCTTTAACAAATATTAAGTGTTTATTATTTGCCAAGTACTATACTAAGTGCTTTTTCAGACTATATTTACTCTTAATTCTTGAAAGAATCATATTTGAAAATCAACATTACTGCCTTTTTATCAGTTGAGAAACTTAAGCACTAAGAGGTTCATTATGCGACTCAGTGGCAACACAGCTAGAACTAAAGTTAGGCTTTCAATCAGGCAATTGGATTTGTAGTTTACATTCTGAAGGTAGATTCCATGGAGAAAAGTAGCAAGAAGGGTTGAAAAGATAATAAAACCAAAAAAAA